GACACTAAAAGTGGTGCTTAATACACCAGGGTCTTCCATGGTTAAGTCGAGGATCCTAATGAATTACTCTTAAGGAGAAGACCGGTGGGGTAAAAAAGGTTTATTTCATTGAGAAAAAGCTTGAGAATCACATCTCTAGCCAAAAAAGAAAATTTAAAGGATAAGATGGGAAACTTGTTATGAGTTGTTTGCATTTGAAGAATGAATTTTGAATCCAATATTCATTTATAGAGTTTTACTTAATGAGTTGGGAAGGCTAATGCGGGTGGATCCAAGGTCTATGTTATTGTACCAACCCTTTCATGACATAGAAACATTACAAAACCAATGCCATTTTGTTTGTCATTCGGCTCAATCCTTGGAATTAAATCACTATGTCGACAATTTTCCTTTATTGTTGACTGATCTTCAATGTGACCACAACTTTATTCATTTGGATATTCAAGAATTGGCTAGAAGCAATGAGATGACATCACTTAAGAACAATTATTATTGATTAGGCTTTGGTTATAATTGTGGCTGTTAAGTAGGTACTCTAAAAAGAGTAATAGTCGTTAATACAAGTGGTACATCATCATAAAGATTAAATCAAAACTAGAGCATGCTGCATGTGCACACGTAGATTTCCTTGTAAATTATAATTTGTGTTACTACCTATACGATTAAGCAATTCAAGACCTAATGGCTAGCTATGATTGAGAAATGCTTTCTTCAAGAGGAAACTTGGCTCGATTCAAGTGACATACAACTTGAGATCTCAGTCTGTTGTGTGATTCACATGCCTGTAATAACTTGTTTGCTATGCATCCATCAACTTTTTGAGTGTGACAATCATATAACACGCAACCATGGCCTAGTTTGCATTTTATCTTTTCCATGGTGGGCCACTAATAGTAATAAATGATTACTCTTTGGGAATACGTGTTTTATTGGACCAGTTATAACCAAATCGTGATGGTTATAATTATGCTTGAGTGGTGTTTTTGGTTAGTTGTACCCAATTCTGAATTAACGAAATGAATGACTCCATGGTCTCATTAAAGATGAGTGCACAGCCGAGAAAAACTGTATTACATTGATGGTTAACTTTATGGATTGGGTTGAATGACATACTACATGCAGTTGGTACATGGTGTCAAAAGTTACCACTTCATAGAAGAATTGGTGTGACAATATAGATCTTGGATCTACCCATAGGACAACAATTACCCTTCGAGCTCAGCAAGTTGAACTCTGTAAAAGAATGTCAGATTAGATTCCTTCTAATACAACCAACTGACAACAAGGTTAGTTTCTTTTAAGTTTCATTTTTGGCTAGAAATGAGTTTCGCAGGATCATTCTCAATGAAAGGGACATGTTTTGCTCCACCTGCCACCTCATTAAAGTAATTCCATCAGAGGCACGAACTTAACCATGGAAGACTTGTTTTTTCACTATGTTTGGTGTTTTTTCATGGGTTAGAATGAATTTGATTTTAGTTGGAAATGTAAGAACATGATTGTATTCTTTTATAAACTTTGTGATAACTCATCTTTGCTTGTCATCTTTCTTAATGCGCATCTTCTTTAAGACATCCACATCATTTATGGAAACAAACATTAGCTGTCCCCTCATCTATCTATTATAATAGCCTTGCCTAAAAAATCTAAAGCCATGATTATTATTTCACCATATTTTTTTGGGCTACCTCTTTTCTTATTCAAAATCCAATGAGTTCAGCATGACTGTTGTAGTTTTAAGCTTTATCTTCATCCTGAATGCCTTTTACTGGTTTGATATGTGCGAGTGTTGTAAGGGCTGCCTCCGTATTTACATATAGAGGATCTTTTATTACCATCTATTGTGACTCTTCTCATTAGAGGGAAAATCGTGGCTAGGTTCCTTCAACATAGCCTCGAAACGGAAGTCATCCATATTGTTCACATCAATGGTGTCGAGGGAAGAGGATACATGCATTGATGTAGCAGTCTCCATTTGATACAAATAGTTAACGAGATAGATTTATAGAGCTAAATTGTGGAAATGGTGTGAAAACAAGGAATCTAGTATTCTTTGAAAGAGAAAGTATACTAAAACGGAGGCATTACTAAGCATTACTAACAATTTTAGTATAACTTGAAAACAAACAGCCTGTAAGACATTTTGTTTTGGTTTGATTTGGATATCCAACAATGAAATATGGGTTCAAGTCCAACCTAATATGATCAATCATAAAAAATCACTACTAGTTGATTGACCATGGTCTAGACAGAACTCTGCGCTTGTTACATATGCTTAAACATATTAAACTAAGAAAATAAACAAGTCCATATGCGATCTCACATGCCATAGCTATGCATATCATTTTTAAATGTTTATCATGAGTACCATATGCAATGTTACTTGATGGAATAGTCTACCCTAAGTATATATGACAATATGCATACAATAGTGCAAGTAAACACGATTATTATGCTCTTGGCTACCCTATTGTGTAAAGGGAATATATACAATGAGATCATTTACCTTTGGTATAGGGAGGTCACAATTACTTACAACCATCTGATGTGAAATCTGATAGCTTGAGTGTGTCACAAAGTTCGAAAAAAAATCTTTTGAAGTTTGAGCTTGGTCAATGAAATAAATGCAGCCACCCAATTTCACCTCCAATGGTCAAGATTAATTGTGACCACCTTGTACCATAGGTAAATGGTCTCATCATATACTTTTCCTTGTGTAAATATGTTTGTATTTATAAACATGATACAAATTTAGATGCAAACAATTTGTTACTCCATGGAAAAGTGGTCACTTTATTTTCCACGATAAAACTTTTGGGGCCGTTTGATTGCAAAGTTTTTTCTAATAGCAATTCTTTTTTTTCAATTTGGAATTGACCAAATAGTGATTTGTCCAATTATCATTTGCTCTCTATAGGTGTTTGATTTTTATAATTTCAATTATAAAATGTTATTATGTAGTGTGATGATAGAGGTGGTAGTGATGGTGTGGTTGTGGTGGTATAATGTGACAATGGTGGTAGTGGCAATGCGATGGTGGTGGTGGTTGTGGTGTACGTGTGGAGTGATGGTGGTAGTAGTGTAGGTGGTGGTGGTGGTTGTGGTTGTGGTGTACGTGTGGAGTGATGGTGGTAGTAGTGTAGGTGGTGGTGGTTGAGCAATGGTGGAGGTGGCAATGGGTAGGTGGTGGTTTATTAGTGGTGGTGGTGAGGTGGTAGTGTAGTGATGATAGAGTGGTATTGATGATAGAGTGGTATTGGGGGTGTTGTGGTGGTGGTAAAGTGATGGTGACAGCTTAGGCATTGATGGTGGTGGTAGTGGTTGTTGGAGTAGTTTTGCTAAAGTTCAATTTGGGAGCCCAATTGCAGTTGGGAATCAATTCAAATTTCTGAATCAAACACCTCTTGAGGTCAAATTGCTTATGAGAAATTTTCAAATAGGTCAAAATTACAATTTGGCTAGAAAATCAAGTAGGGCCTTATTGTTGGAGTGTTAAATCTGAAAAAACAATAATGAATACAAAACTATATGCTTAAAAATGCAAAGTCTTAAAGGAGTCCTGCTAGAGTTAGTGATCAAATGAGTTAGCCTTCAATACTTTGTATAAAAGGCCAAGGTTTTTAGGGTTTATTAGTTTGTGGCCCATAGTTTTGAGTTCTTTTGGTCATTTCTTATGTTTCTAGAAAATTTATGTGATAAAAAATAGTACTTGGGGCTCACAATATATAATTATGGACACGGTTGTTATGCGACATGACCCACATAAATTCTTCACCATCCAACTGACTTGGACAGTGGTGATTGCAAGTTATTTTGGCAAGCGCCACCATCCAAGTCAGTTGGACAGTGGAGAGTTCATGCGGATATGCCTGCATGAAATAATGAACCTATATTTATTCACATTGTGATTCACATTTTGAAAAAATCTCTTCTAATTTTACATAATTGGCCCCAAACAAAAGGCATAGTGACGTAAACAAATGGGCTTTCCATGTCACTGGAATTATCGCTTGGTTGGAACAAGGGAATTCAAGAAAAAGAACTTAGATAAATTAACACCAAATATAGAAGCTCAGATCTCAAAATATTCAGTTTCAACGATTGGGTCAACATTGGACCCTAATCATGACATTAGTAATAATAATAAGAAAACTTCACTCAAACAGAAGTAATAGTGAACCACAAACTTTTTCTTATTACATCAAGGACTAAAAGGAAGTTTCACAAAAAATAGCACAGCATACTGAGTTCAGGATAAAAATTAATACTAAACTTGAAGCTTCTTAAAGATCAAAGAGTAAAGATTTCTGATAAAATTGCATCTAAACTCCAAGAAATGCTAACTAGAGGAGATTGTTGTAAAATCATAGAAAACAAGTTAAAAATAGTTATTGAGCCCTAAAAACAATCAATAAACCAGCAAGTATAGGGAGAAAGACTGCCCTGCTCCTGTATGAGAGAGAGAGAGAGAGAGAGAGAGAGAGAGAGAGAGAGAGAGAGCAAAACTTGTTTAATTAGACTCTTAGTAACTGACAAAATAAAAGGTCTCTGAGATAAATCATTGAGATTAAAGTTTAATTGCCTGATTTCTCACCCCCTTGGTTATGATATTGAACCATCTTAGCTCGAGGCGTTCAAGTTTTGTTGACTTGATCTATTTGATAGCTGGCACTTGGAGTGGATTGGTTCTTGATTTGTCAAGCTATTGTTAATGATTGTTTTTGCTACTGTCACTATTTTTATATGGAAAAAGTTTATATAAGTGCGAGGCTCTAAACAATCAAATTAAAGCGCACCTGAAAAATTCATTAAAAAAAGTTGTTTCAATGCTGAGAAACCCTCAATTCGATCATCTCAACCTCTGGAGGTATGGACATGAGAAAAAAACGTTTTCTAGGTGTGCCCTATTTTGATTGTTTGGAGCCTTGGCCTTGTACAACCACACCCTTTTCATATTTGATCAACTTAAATTAAGCAATATATCCTTTATTTTTTTGCAGATCCTTCTTGTCGTAGAGAGTGTGGGCACCATGTTGAACCATGACAGGATGTTCAAACAACAGTGTAATTCAAAGACCAGAACATGATTGTTCTCGTCAAGGAAGAACCTTAGGTCTATGGTAAAACATTGGAGCAATTAGTTTTTTGGCACATAGAGAGAGAGAGAGAGAGAGAGAGAGAGAGAGAGAGAGAGAGAGAGAGAGAGGA